TTACACTTGGGAAATTAGCTTTAGCCCTGCCGCCACCACATTTCCTGGGCAGGGCCCCCACAGGCGCTAGCATGGATATTTATGAAACAGGGACTTCTTTTTTCTTCCCCCTCTGTTCACTTACTATGACTTTTAGATTAGCCTGCAGATAGATTCAATACAGGAAACCCTGTAATTAATATAGTTTTCAAGTAGGAAACCAAAAGTGGGGAAGGCAGCCAGGGCAGGTGGCCAGCATTGGTGAGAGCAGTTCCCCGGGATTCCTAAGCTATAGAAAACCCTGAGTCTTCGAGGTCAGAGCCCAGATTCGGTCCCCTTCACAAGACCTCATTTGACCAAAGTCTGACTAACTCCCAGTTTTTTCCATTATTATTGTGGATTTACTCTGAAGGACTCTATAAAAATGAAAACCACTTTCAGTTTTTTGTATTTGGGACATTAAGGGAGCATTTCTTCCATGTGCTTAGTACTTCAAAGCTTACAAAATGCTTTCACAGCCTAGATGATTTTTTATTTTCACCAAGGCAGGGATTATTGTTCTCAATCTATGTGTCTTGAAACAAGACTCTGAGGTGTTAATGGCTTTTAAAAGATCACATAGCTAGAAAGTGCCAAAACTATCCACTGGAAATTTGATAATATTCCAGGTAGGCAAAACAGTGGGAAATCGATATCTCATACACTTACAGTGACAGTGTAAATTGGCCTAGCATTTCACAAGGGCTCATTGCCAGTATTTACTAAATGCGGTTATCCTTTGACCTGCCAGTTCAACTTTAGGGTCTCTGTATTAGCCTGAGCTCCCCCTAGAAAGCAGAGCTCAAAATGAGAGCCTGCAGGCAGGAAGCCAGCATTGAGAAGTGAATGAGCGTGAGTCCAGGGCTGGGAAGAGTGAAAAAGCAACACAAGGCTACATTATCAAGCTGGTCACCATTGTGCATAACTAGGACTCGATCCTGCTAGAACCCTTTAAGGAACCATGGAGAGTGGGCCTGAAAAAAAGAAGACGCAGACATTTATTCACAGGCTCACACCCTACACTGGTGAAAGGTTACTCCATAGACTGTTAACTCTTCCGCACTTCCATGTTTGACAGAGGAATCCCAAGAATGTATTCATGTATTAATTATATAGTTATTAATAAAAAGATTAGGGGAGAGCCTGGGCCTGGAAACTGGAGTTGGCACTGGAACATGGATCTCCAAAGTCAAGTCTAATTTTCAGAGTCTGGCAGATAGGGTTCTGTGGAACTGGAGTTATAAAGAATAGAATCCAGTTCCGTTGAAGGTAGAGAGAGAGGCATAGCAAGAGATAGGTAGGGTGTTTCACTTTTCTGCCACAAGCGACTCCATATTCCACAGCACACTGGGCACAGAACATCTGATATCCTGCCAGGCAGTGTTATCAATAGTCAAAAGGCATCAGAGATAAGGCCCACCATGCCCAGTCCCAAGGCCAAAGACAGACAATTTGTGGGGAAAAGAAAGAAAGATCAGACTGTTACTGTCTCTATATAGAAAGAAGTAGACATAAGAGACTCCATTTTGTTCTGTATTTGAGATGCTGTTAATCTGTGACCCTACCCCCAACCCTGTCCTTGCAAGAGACATGTGCTGTGGTGACTCAAGGTTTAAAGGATTTTGGGCTGTGCAGGGTGTGCTTTGTTAAACAAGTAACTGAAGGCAGCTTGCTGGTTAAAAGTCATCACCATTCTCTTAATCTCAAGTACCCAGGGACAGGTACACTGCCAAAGGTCGCAGGGACCTCTGCCTAGGAAAGCTAGGTATTGTCCAAGGTTTCTCCCCATGTGATAGTCTGAAATATGGCCTCGTGGGATAGGAAAAACCTGATCGTCCCCTAACCTGACACCCGTGAAGGGTCTGTGCTGAGGAGGACCAGTACAAGAGGAAAGAAGGCCTCTTGGCGGTTGTTGGCAGTTGAGATAGAGAAAAGCATCTGTCTCCTGCCGGTCCCTGAGCAATGAAACATCTCGGTGTAAAACCCGATTGTATGTTCTGTTTACTGAGAAAGGAGAAAACCACCTTAGGGCGAAAGGTGGGACTTGCTAGCGCAATGCTGCTCTTTATGCACTAAAAAGGTTTATGAAGATGTTTGCATATGCACATCAAGGCACAGCACTTTTCCTTAAACTTATTTATGTCACAGAGATCTTTATTCATATGTCTTACTGCTGACCTTCTCCCTACGATGATCCTATTATCCTGCCACTTCCCTTTTTTATAAGATGGTAAAGAGAATTATCAATAAATACTAAGGGAACTCAGAGACCGGTGCTGGTGTGGGTCCTCTATATGCTGAGCGCCGGTCCCCTGGGCCTACTTTTTCTATCTCTATACTTTGTCTCTGTGTCTCATTTCTTTTCTCAAGTCTCTCATTCCACCTAACGAGAAATGCCCACAGGTGTGGAGGGGCAGGCCACCCCTTCAAAATTAAGTGATTATCAAAAAGCAGTACTTTTCCAATTTAGTAAGCATGAGATTCACCTGGGAGCTTGTTAGAAATTTAGATTTCTGGACCCCACTCCAGAAATTCCAATTTGAGTCTTGGGCAGAGCCCTGAATCTACATTTATAAATCCCTCAAGTAATTCTCATGTAGGTGATCCAGGACCACACTTGAGAAACACTGCCCTAGGACCTAGACTCTGAGCCTTCGAGGACGGAAAGTATCTCATTTATCGCTAGTTCCCTCCCCAGTACCGGGCATGTAGGAGGGACAAGATAATTGGCCACTGAATTATTCAAAAATCAGTGCTCTAAAAAGTGTCTGTTTTATGTGGATTCAGCTCAAGTCTGCAACCTTTCTGTACCTGCAGCCTCTTGGACTTCATTTTAACAGCATAGTCCAGAAAAGGGAATTTAAACTCAGTAGAGACTAGTTTATAAGCCAGAAAGCCAACGAATTCATTAACCTAAAGAAGTAACTGCAAGTCAGTTGGCTAGTAATATATTTTCTCCTAGGAGCAGAAGCTACCTATGAAACTAAATTAGTACCAGGCTATTGCTTGGTGAACAAGTAATGACTTTTAGGCTTAATTGGTAAAGCGCGACATAAATTGTGAGATTAGCACTGCATAAGTCGAAAAGGTCTATATGAATGTAAGGTATTATTTGTTTGGGTGAGGGAGAAGGGACAAGATGGAGGAAGGTGAACAAGATGGAGCAGTCCTTGTTGTTTTCAGGTTCTTCATCACAGATTTTCCCATGCCCGGGAAAAATTCCCATGCCCGGGAAAAGAACCAAACCAACTGAGCATGAGCAGAGTGACGTCAAGCTGGGGACACCGAAATTCAAGAAACCACTCCTACACACACGCCCCAAACTCCTCCCCTTCCAGCTCCCAGGCATAAAAGTCCGCTGCTGGTAAGCGCCGGTGTGACTTCTTCGGCCCCTGCATTTGTGGACCGGAGAACATCACCCGAGAGCGCCGGCGCGACTTCCCTGGCCCCCCACACCTGAGGACCAGAGAACCTCGCCCGAGAGTGTGTGCATATTTGCAATAAAAGACTGCCACTTTCTTACGTACTTTGGCCTCATGTTTAATTACTTAGCTCTCCTAAATTAAGTTACCTTAAATTAAATTAAAACATTATTAACATCACTATATTAGAAAATATACTGCAGAGAGTATACATAGGGGTTATGCCTGGAAGCACTAGAATCAGACAGAAAAGGGTTCTACCTCTATGAAACCTTACAGATGAGTCAATGCACTTCCCTGTGCCTCAGTTTCCTGCTCTGTAAAATAGAAATAATGATAGCCACAAGCCTTTTGGAGTTGTTGTAAGAATTAGACAATATATGTAAAGTTTTGACACAGTGTGCTGCATTTAATAAGTGCTCAATAAATGTTTGCTAATAGTATTCAGTTCCCTTTCTCCTAAATCACCAACTCTAACGTCAGACAGGTAAATAATACAACACTACTACAATTATAAAAACGCAGACCTGGTAGCAGGCAACAGAGGCTCCAGTTTCTGCTAGGCAATTCTAGGTGGTCATTTTACATACTGTGGAGTCCCAATGAGAGAAAGGGAGTCAGGCTAGTAGGACCAAGGGAAAGCAAAAAGAGCAGATGTGCTCTAAGTCTGCCTTTCTTCATGGTGCAGGACACATAGCCCTCCTGTGCAAATAACTCACAATCTTCCTGCACTCAGCTATCAGGAGACACATGCAAGTTAGCTCCCTGTAACCTTGGAATTATCGGTATTGCACAGCACTCTGCAGCCCAAGAACCGTCCGATAAAATCTCCAGCAAGTCTTTGTTTCCTTGAAGTCAGCTCCTCTCTGGCTGGTCGGCCCACTGCAACTTTTCAACGTATTTCCATACCTTTTCTAATATATCTGCATTTCTTTTAGGTTGAATGTATCAACCTAAAACTGTTGATACATTCTTTTCCCACCCACGTAATACCAGTCTCACACAGTCGCTGCTCACCCAAGACGCAGACCTGAGCCTTAGTTTACACATGAGAAAAACGTAGACGCCTACCAACATTGTTCATTCATTGATTTCATTCCCTCCTTTCATACTTATTGAAGGTCCACAATACACACTTAGACCTAATGCTAACTCTGTACTCAAAACCTGCGTGGAGGAACTCACAGCCTGAGTTTCAAGCGAGATAATGTATGTGAAAGTTCCCAAAGGCCATTGGCAAGACTCAGAAGACAGTGCTGGTGTGACTCTTGTCTTTCAGTCCCCACGGAGCCCTGTCCCTTTGAGACCTTCCATTTGTCTCCTGGATGCTCGCCTGTTAAGTGGGGCAGGGGAGGCCGTAGTAAATAAGACAAAAGAGCTGCCTTCCATTCTGGAAGAAAAGAATAAAAGGAGCTCACTGAGTCCAGACCTAATGACAGGAAGAGCAGTGGACGCTCACACAACCGCTGGGGCACAGGCCCAGGGTTGGGGAGAAAACTGGGATCTCAGCTGCGCACGCGCGCTCTGGTTTTTGACGGGCGCAGAGCGGGACGAGGTGGGAAGCCTAACGTCAAAGTCTACGTAGGAAGACGTAGGGAAGGCAGCTAGGAAGACGCTGGCTCTCGGGTCACGTGATGCGGCGGGAGGGTCGCGGCTCCTCCCTCCCCAAGATGGCGTCGTTGCTGCAGTCGGACCGGGTTCTCTATCTAGTCCAGGGAGAAAAGAAGGTTCGGGCCCCGCTCTCGCAGCTCTACTTCTGCCGCTATTGTAGCGAACTGCGGTCGCTGGAATGTGTGTCTCACGAGGTAAGGGAGTCGCCCCATAGCGAGTGTGGGGGGTGGGGGGCGCGGCGTTCCTCCTAGTCACTGCCACCGGCGGGCTGGAGCTATTTTCCTTCCTTACTGATTGGTTATGTCTTCCGTCACTCGGCTTTGCCTGCGATTTGATTTGCTTATAATCTGTCACTTGGAAAGGAGGAGCAGCCTCGGGTGGGGCTGAGAGGATCTTCTGGTTCTAGAGCGGCCTCTGATTGGACAAACTTGACTTAGGGACCGTGTCTGTCTCCGATGGGGCTTTGTAATTGGGTGGACTACAGAGAAAGGTCTGGGGGTGCTTAGTTCAGTTCATTTGAGGGGCGAAAAACTGCCTTTCCAGCTTTTATTGCGAGGATGGAGGAAGGCGCAGGCGTTCTCATTCATGGTTCTCCCATCGTGGAAGTTCTGCTCCTCTTTTGTCCAGAAATTGGGCCCTCGTCAGACTGCCTTGCCCTGTTCCTGACTCAGGCCAAGGCCCGCAGCCGGGGAGAGGTTGGGGCGGCGTGAGTTATGTGCAAAGCCCTCAGGATAGAGTATGTCATGTAGGAAGCTGAAAGTGTATTCATGGAGCTAGAGAACGATCTGTCCTTCCCTGGCATGAGCGGGCGTCCGAAGTTGGATTTTTCAAAAAGAAGACGACCCCGGCCAGTAAAAAGTCACCAAATAACAAAACCCCAAAACTTCTGCAGCGCTTGGCACATCTTGTTTATTCAGTAGGCTTAAGGGATTAAAAGGCGAGTAAGACATAAAATGCGCTGTTTAATAAGCCATAGTCTAGTGAAGAAAAAGCTGATAGTAATAATAGTTGCTGCTTGTTCGATACTTGCTATATATCATGTGATTTATGTACTCTTCTGTCCAAACCAATGAAGTGGATACCTTTAAGAAAATTTTTTTTTACAGGTAGAGAAACAGATACAGAGCGTTTGCTGTAAGTCACACAGCCAGTAATTTGGGCGTGGGAGGGAGGGCCTGGATTTGAATCTAAACAGCCTAACTCAGAGTGTTTTTTACTGAAGATGCCGGGACTGTTAAAATAAGTGCACATGAAAACACATACTATAAGCTATTTAATGTATTATTAATAACTTATTTTGTTGAAGATACTTTTCATAATAGAAATAGTCAAGAAAAGCAATAAAATAATACAAGAAAAATCGTAAAAATATGGCATTGATTTTTCTTCTTATCTCCATTAGCACTTTCCTTGTGTGTATCTCCTTGATGATTCCCTATTCCAGCTCCATCTCCAGAATTTATTGGATCATAACTTCTGTGGTGAACAGAGTGCTCAGTCTCCATGATCTGTCTCTAAGGGTCTCTTCAATTAGGACATCCAGTCTGTGACAGCATCTTTTACAGCCTGATGTGTACCTGTGATGTGGAGGCCATTAGAGTTTAGGGAAAGATGAAGCTCTGAGGGCTGGGGCAGGCCGTGACGTTCTAATGGAGAATCTGAGTCTGGAGCTGCACATGAACAGACAAGCAGAATTTGGAAAGGGGGCAAAAAGGAATGATTTGTATTTTGCCTTTTTTGATGAGTCAGTGCAGGTACTAGCAATACTGTATTTTGTGTTCCTGGAGATTATTTGAGCAACAACTTTATTAATCTTGTCAAATTGACCTGTTTATAGCAAATGATGAAAAAAGTCAGTTTCTGTCATAGTATTTATGTTCCACTGATTGTCTCTTCATTTGCAGGTGACTAGAGTTCTGTAATTGTCAAATAGGACCTACATTAAAGAAAATAATTATTCAGACTTTGAAAAAGTAAAATGAACTTAATTTTTTGACTCCCAGTTTTTTTAAGTACAATAAAACTGTCCCATTAATTTGTTTAAAAATCTCTAATTGGTTGGCTGTAGCTGACTATGTAAATATTTATGCTTTCCTTCAGTCAACCTGTATTACTTCAATAATGAGAAATCTTTAAAAAAATTTCCTTCAACAATTAAAGTATGGTCAAGTTTTTATAGTCATATAAAGCTAGCCTAGACAGGAGGATATTTTATCACAACTTTACAAATTGAATTGTTTTATTAAACTCTTCATTAGATTATCATAGAATTCTATGGAGTTCAATTGGAAACTGTAGATTGTTAAATAAACAACTTTTAACACATAAAATCTTGATGATGGAATAGGAGAGATGAGAAAAATAGAAGGGTTTTTTAAATCCAGAAGGAAAAAAAAAAACACACAAAAACAAAAAACAGGTGACTGAAGAATAAACCCTAAGCTGAGAACAGTCTATCTTCTGCTACAGTATAACATATTTTAAAATTCACTATTTGACAAGACATATACACAAGTTAAACTGAGTTCTCCTCTTTCTTTTTTCTTGTTTCCTCCTAGGTGGACTCCCATTATTGTCCCAGTTGTTTAGAAAATATGCCGTCGGCTGAAGCCAAACTAAAAAAGAATAGGTAAGACCTGGATATATGTATTTTTTTTCCCTGTTTTCCTTGACTGTTCTCTAAAATAGCTGGTTAAAAAGACACATGGGCCAGGCATGGTGGCTCACATCTGTAAACCCAGCACTTTGGGAGGCCGAGGCGGGGATCACGAGGTCAGTAGATCGATACCATCCTGACTAACATGGTGAAACCCTATCTCTACTAAAAATACAAAAAATTAGCTGGGCGTGGTGGCACGCACCTGTAGTCCCAGCTACTTGGGAGGCTGAGGCAGGAGAATTGCTTGAACCTGGGAGGCAGACTTTGCGGTGAGCCACGATCACACCACTGCACTCCAGCCTGGGCAACACAGCAAGTCTTTGTCTCAAAAAAACGACACATGAAATTAACTTTTTTAACCAGCTCTTTTTCATTTTTAAGCATCACCATTGGCAAAGATTAAATGCCTTTTGATTTTTGAAATAGATTTTCTACTTTAGAACAGTTTTATACTTCAGAATTATGGTGAAGATAGTACGGAGAGCCCCCATTTACCTCACATCCAGTCTCCCCTATTGTTAACATTTTACATTCGTGTGGTATATTTGTTACAATTAATGAACCAATAAACTACATTTTATTCAGATTTCCTTAGTTTTTCCCTAGTCTCCTTTTTTCCCAGGATTCTTTTCAGGATATCACATTATATTTAATAGTCATATCTCCCTAGGCTCTGCTTGGGTGTGATAGTTTCTTAAAATTTCCTTGGTTTTGATGACCTCAAAAGTATTAAGGACTACTCGTGAGGCATTTTATAGAGTGTCATTCCATTAGGATTTGCATGATGTTTTTTTCTCATCAGGCTAGTGGAATGTATTTTGGGGAGGAGAGCCACAGAGATAAAGTGCCATCTTCCATTACATCATGTCAAGGGTAAATACTTAAGACTTGTCACTGTTGGTGTTAACCTTGATTATCTGGCTTGAGCTAGTGTTTGTCAGGTTTCTGCACTGTAAAGTTACTGCTCTTCCTTCTTTTTTGTACTCTCCTCTTTGGAAGGAAAATCACTGTCACAGCCTATACTTAAAGACTAGGGAATTATGCTCCCCTGTCCTTAAGGACTATCTGCATAAATTATTGGGATTTGTAATTCTTTTGCATGGAAGATCTATCTGTGTCTTCTCCCCCCATTTATTTTTTAAATCACTTACTTATAGGACAGTGGGATCATGAATATTTATTTTACACTTTGGGGTGTAATCCAATACTACTTTATTTATTTATTTATTTTGTTCAAATTATTTCAGCTTTCGCCATTGGGAGCTCTTTCAGTTGACTCCTAGATCCCTTTGACATACCCCCATCATTAGGGGCAGGAGAGAGTTCTCTGTTCATTACTTTGATCATTTTCTTACCAGTACTACAAGATACTCCAGACTCATCTTGTGTGTATGTTTTGTGTGTGTGTGTGTGTGTGTGTGTGTTTGTGTGTGTGTGTGTGTGTTTGAGACTGAGTCTCACTTTGGCGCCTAGGCTGAAGTGCAGTGGTGCAGTCTTGGCTCACTGCAGCCTCAACCTCCCAGGCTCAAGTAGTGCTTCCACCTCAGCCTCCTGAGTAGCTGAGACTACAGGCACATGCTACCACACCTGGATAATTTTTGTATTTTTTGGAGAGGCAGGCTTTTGCCATGTTGCCCAGGCTGGTCTCCAACTCCTGGGCTCAAGCACTTCACCTGTCTTGGTTTCCCAAAGTGCTAGGATTACAAGTGTGAGCTGCTGTGCCTGACTTCATTTTGTATATTTTCTGTGTCAGTCTTAACAGTTGTTTCTCCAAGGAGCCTTGGTTCACTTTATTGGAGAATAGTCTTAGGAACCAAGGTATGGCTGCTAGGCGTGCTCATTGCTATAGGATGGTGTTTAGTTTTTAGCTTGAAGTGAAAGTCCTTTTGCTATTAGTGGCATCCCCTATACCCTGATGGATGTGAACCACTATTGTTTGTCTTTCCTGCCCTGAGAAGTAACCCCTGATAACCAGATACTGTTTTATGTGCTTTCCACAAATTAATTTTTGTCATTTGATCCTAACGCTTTCTTGTAAGATGAGTACTATTACTATCTTCTTTTAATAGTATCCAGATGGCAGACTATAACAGATAATGCAAGTTATATTATAGAACAGAACTTCAAGGCAAGTACAGGACTACAGGTGAAATCTCGATAATCTGTGGTGGTAGGAGAGTTAAAAGCAAGAAGACATAGGGACCTCCTAAAGGAGAAATGTTGGCTGAGCACTAGGAAGAGTAGCATTTAAGGAGAGAACAGAAAGCCCTGAAAATGTACTGCTTCTGAACCATTCCAGTTTGACAGCATTGTTTGCTTTCTGTTTCACCTCTCTGGCACAGCAGTCAGTTATTTTCCAAATCCAGTTTCACAGCTTCTTGTATTGTTGACTCTAAATTTTCTATGGCACAATTGGTCTGTCATCTCTAAAGTTACAAGCTGTGACATTTCTCCTTTCCTCAGAAATTTTTGTGATCAGTATAAGCATAAAAAGAGTCTGGAATCGTAAACTCCATCTGTTAACAATGATTCTCTCTGTGGAGTAGGATTAGGTTGGGCTCCATTTCTTACTTTGGCGATAACTGCATATTTTTTTAAAGTGATGAACATATAGTACTTTTGAACTATTAAAACAAAGTTGGTAAGAGACCTGCAGAGTGTTACTGTTTTTTCTTGAGAGGTACTTGTCCTTATATTTGTTCTCTCTTGAATTCCTAACACCTGGAACAATGTCTGGCACATAGTAGGTACTTGATAAATATTGGTTAAATGAATGAATGGTTGTGTTTGTCATGTCACAGATGTGCCAATTGCTTTGACTGTCCTGGCTGCATGCACACCCTCTCTACCCGGGCCACAAGCATCTCCACACAGCTTCCAGATGACCCAGCCAAGACCACCATGAAGAAAGCCTATTACCTGGCATGCGGATTTTGTCGCTGGACGTCTAGAGATGTGGGCATGGCAGACAAATCTGTAGGTGAGTGAGGTGGACTTCAACATGAAATTTTGTGCAATTGACAGTGCTATAATTGCCCATAGATTATTATTTCTGTAACCTGTTGGGGCGATAGGAGCTAATAACTCTTCTGTGTTCCCATATTTTCACATTTATAGATCTTGGTGTTTTATCTGAGACTATATTCCCATATTTTCACATTTATAGACCTTGGTGTTTTATCCGAGATTGGATAATATTTAGTTTTCTTGGACTTGATAAAATAGCTTTTTTAAATCTGGTACTTTCTTGGAATCAAAATATTAATGCTCTTCATGAAAAACAAACATTCATGTTAAGATATCGTGGATAAAACTAAAAGATAAAAATGACAAACTAAGAAAAATAGTTGGGTCTTATATAACAGGCTAAGGATGAATACTCAAAAATGAGGAACACTTGTAAGTCAATAAGAAAAAGACTTACTAGGAAAACAGCAAAGGATATGAACAGCAGTTCTCATAGTAGAAATAAAAATGGTCAATGAATATGCAAAAATATATATTCCACTTCCCTAGTAATCATGTAAATGCAGATTAGACCTTCCGTCTATTTGGTACAACATGTTTAATCTGGTTGTATCAAGTGTTGGCTAGAACATGGGAGAATAGTTCCCTCATACACTACGGTAGTCTATCTTGGAGACCAATTTTAAAACACTTATTAAAATTTTAAATTGCTTATATCTTTCTGCCCAGTATTTCCATGTCCAGGTGTCTGTCCTGGAGCATTCACATGTGTGCTCAAAAACTTTTATATATATATATATATATAATGTTTATCAGTGAAAGAGAAAAATTGTGTATGTTTGGATTTAAGACCACCTAAGGCATTATATACCTCCATCATTTGAGTGTTTGAGTGTTTTAGAACAGAGATTGCACTTAATTTTATCAGGAAACTTTATTTTTACAAATTCTGTATTTTGTGGTTAACATCAGAGTGTGGAAACATTCTCTGAACAGTCAGTTCAAAATCTTGAGTTGCTTTTGATTGAAGTGATCCAAAGTTTAAAAAAAAATAATAAAATCTTGAGTTGCTATTTATACTTTATATAAGTAGTAGCATCACTAACTCTCTATTTTTTTCTGAAAGTTTCATTGTTTAATTTTCTTTTTTTTTTCTTTTTGAGACAGAGTCTCGCTCTGTCACCCAGGCTGGAGTGCAGTGGCCAGATCTCAGCTCACTGCAAGCTCCGCCTCCTGGGTTTATGCCATTCTCCCGCCTCAGCCTCCCGAGTAGCTGGGACTACAGGTGCCCGCCACCTCGCCCAGCTAGTTTTTTGTATTTTTTAGTAGAGACGGGGTTTCACCGTGTTAGCCAGGATGGTCTCGATCTCCTGACCTCGTGATCCGCCCGTCTCGACCTCCCAAAGTGCTGGGATTACAGGCTTGAGCCACCGCGCCCGGCCTCATTGTTTAATTTTCTAAAAACATTTTAAACTTGTAAAAATTCTCATTTTGGGATTTTCATAAAAAGTATAGCTTATTGACTAATAATTGGGGAAGCTCATAACAAACTCATTATATGTCATTTGACATAACTAAAACGAAGCAGACTGGCTAAAACCTTTCCATATATTCTTACACAATTTGGAAGTAATTATGGGTGAAGTTCTTTAGATTCAACTATGTTCTTAAGAAGTTAATCCTTGATTCTGTTGAATTTACTCTTTGGTTTAGAATGCTTTGAGCTGTTGATGGTGTTTCTGACTTTGTACATTGAGTTGATAAAATACATACTCTTTTCAAAAACAGAAAGTTAAATAAGTGTATCTTAGTTCCTTAAAAAGCTCATTGATGAGTAGCTGTTTACCTGAAGTGTGACTGAAACTAGAAAGATTCTGTAACATCTTTTAAAATTGCCAGTAAGTGTTTATGTGTATATGTTTTAGTGTCAGTATGGGAGATGTTAGAATTTATCAAAGAAAGTTAAATGTTAAAAAGCAACCTCAAAGTGGCATAATGTAGGCCTCAGTGAATTAAAGTATTGTTTTTTCATGTTTGTGTTTTGTGTCTTTTTATCAAGTGAAAGAAACAGCCCAGAAATCCAAGTAGATTTCTCAGTTTGTTACTCTGTTAGTGAATGTTTTATGCTTTTTGGATTATGAGTCATGAAGATTGGAGAATTTATATTTCAGAACTATAAACTTACGCTGGCTTCTAGAACTCCATCTCCTCTGGGGTATCTCAACAGTGATAATTGAATACCAGGAGCTCTTAAAGAGTGCAGATAATTTCATTTCCTCCATGATGTCATTGGTATCTTAGAAGCCCCGAAACCACTTAAGTTAGAACTATTTGTTTATTTATAAGTACTTGTCTGTAATGTACAGAGAAAAACTTACAGTGAGATTATTATGTCTCCCAAATTGCTATTTAGAATAAATTACCAGTTCAAAAGAAGCAATTAGATAAAATATTCAGACATTTAAAAATATTACAACTGAAACATTTCTTTCGCATAATTATTTTTGATGATTGCCTTAAGTGAGGCAACTTCTAAAATATTATACTAAAATGCTATTTCTGCCATTTCTTGCAAGAGGATACAATGTCACCTTCAGCAAGGTAATTGAGTCCTTTTTGTTTTGAAAAAAGTGATTTTATATGAAATATGTATATTCATGTACTTATCACCCAATTTAAGAAATGAAACAGCCAAAACAGTTTAAGCCCTTCCCCCTACTTTATCTGTCTTCCTCTCTGCCCGCTAAAGATAATAATCACAATCCTGAATTCAGTGTTTATTAGAGTCCATGCATGTCTTTATACTTCTCCACATGTGTATGTAGCCACAGACAAATAACATTTTTCGGTTTTAAGCAAATGGAAACATCATGTATATATCCTGCTACAACTTTATTCTATCAACATTATGTTTTTGATACACAGTTGACTGCTCATTCTCTACTTGATGAACAATTTGGATTGTTTTTGGGTTTTGGCTTGTATGAATAAATGTGCTATGAACATTTGCCTATTAAAGTCTTTGTGTGAATATATGTTTTTCCCATTTTTCTTAAGTGCCAAGGAGTGAAATTATTAGGTCATAGGGTCAGTGTATGTTTAATTTTGTCAGAAGCTGCAAACTTTTTTTTTTTTTTTTTCCTTTTT